GATCTTCCCAAATGTTCCCTCGATTCACTTTTCGGCAACTCTGACTCTCTCGTTCCTTCCTCTTCCTTGGAAATTCCTAAAAATCCTGTTTTGTTCTTTCACTTAGCTTACCATTAACACCTGCAGGAACAATTCACTCAGGATCTTATTCAAATGTGGTTTTTGTTCTGGCATAATTGATTAGTGCATCACTTCATCAGGGCACCTGAAATGGGCTCATTTGAAGTTTAGTGATGAGCAAAGGCAGTGCTGTGCTTCCATCCTCTGGTTTCTGCTTTTTACTCAGGCATTTCTCTCTAGAGGGACAGAAGTTAATGATAGAATTGTTCTCTCACTCTCACGCACATAGACACACACTCACTCTCTCTTTGCTGCCTGATGTCAGAGCTGAACAAAGTATGAGGGGTATATAAGAGCAGCATTGCCTGCCAGCCAGAAAGGTAGCAACGAAGACCCTTGGATTAGAAGAGTGAATTCGTCCTGCCCTCATTCTTCTGCTGCAGGACCTTCACTTCTCCCTCCAGGTAAATCAGCTTCAGGTTGAGGCATGGGGAAGAGAATGTTTGTCTGCCTTGTGATTCTTCAGAAGGATAATCCATAGATCAACAGGAGAGGAATGGGGCTGGACATGATGAACAAAGCAACATCTCTCCAGCCAGATCAGAGCACAGTTGCCCTTCTGTTTTACTTTTCTTTGCGTACATTCATAAAATCAGAGAGGAAAACTGAAGGGTTAAAGTTAGGGTTGGCTTGGGCTTGGGTTAGCCCTCCGACAGAATAGCCATCACGGCTTTTAGCTAGCAAAACTTGTCATCCGGTGCGAAAAGAATAATGGAAAATTGATATTGGGATGTATGTGTTTGTGTTTGTAATTTGTTAACTTGGTTTTTATTCTTCTTTCCTTTGTCTTTCTTTCGAAAGCAGCCAAAAGAGAAATGTGCAGCCTCAAAGGACCTTTTCTTTTCATCATCTTGTCTCTTACTTTAAATTCCCTGGAAGCAACGCCGGTTGAGAGGTCAGTAACCTTAAAGCATACTCCTCCTCCTCCTCCTCTTCCCCTAAGAAACCGAATTTTTTGTGTTGTATGGTTGCACAAATCACTGCTTACTATTGTGTTGCCAAAGGCACTGGCAAGGCAGTTAGGCTGGTAATAAAGAAGGAAGGGGAGGTGAGAAGAATTAAAATGGAAATTTGCTGTTTGTTCTCATTTAAAGACTACTTTCTTTGGCTTTATCTTATGGGATGCCCACAGACAAAAGTAGGTCTGATGGTAATCTGCAGCTCACGAGAACTTATGCCTTTTAATAACATTTATTGGACAGAAAAGGTGCCCCCAAACTCCTAATTTTTTGGCCACTATAAACTAACACAGTTGTCACATAATATCATTAATGGATAGGTCTCCTTCTTTCTGGATTATAGATATGCAGCTAACAAAACCCTCACTGTTTTCTGAGATACTAATTTATTAATAAGGTTTTTTAAAGTAACTTTTAAAACAAAAGTTTAGGAGCAAATGGATTCTGGGTCAGTTTTAAAAACTGAATTATCTTTTATGTTGATTCTAGTTGAAATATATCTTAAAGATTGTACTGTACTACAAGGAATGGCAATGTATATTTTTGGAAGTCTTTATTGGCCGCAGTATTACTTCCTTCAACTTTACCTATTGAATGGTTAGCAGTATTTCTGTCTTCCCTGCTGTCTGTTCTATAAAAAGGGTATTGTGTTTAGTAAGAAGAATGAATGTCTTTAGACCCATAAAAACTTGGTCACACAATGTCTAATTTCCCCTTTACATCCCATATTCATCTGAATTAGAATCTAGCTGTTCCCACAGCCATTTTAAACAATTAGAAAGGGAAAGTTGTTAGAGACGGAATCATATTTGTAGGCAGGTAAAATATCAGAAAAGTCATCAATACTGGCTTCAGATTTTTGACACAGTGCATTTGATTGGTAGAAGGTTCATTTTGAGTAGAAACTCTTCATTATGTTGAGAAAGTTAAAACAAAGCATTAAATAATTGGCTTCTTTCCCCTTATGCTAAAACATCCCCCACCCGCAGTTCTTATTCTCAGTAAAAGTGCCAAAAAGCTTGGAAATTTCCAAGTAACCCCACCCTTATTCTCATGTGAGAATCATACATTCTCATGAAAAATCAATTATATATCCCACCTATGTAATTTGCTGATACTCACATATGGTTCTCAGTCCACTGGCATGGACTCTCATGAGAATGAGAATTCCCTCCCTCTTTTTAAAACGGAATTTAAATTGCTGAAAAATGGCAGTTTAAAGACATTGGGAACAATAAATAGATTAATAATAGAGCTAGCCCTTAAAGAAGCTTGATCTCTACTAATTTTGATAATTTTAGCTAAATTTAGTTAATCATAGGAGATAAAAAATAGATTCTGACTGTATCAGAAGATGGTAGCATAAAATAAATACTTAACCAAACATAAATGGATGCAAATTTTTCATAGTGACCCCTTTGGATTTCAGAAAACTTTCTGAAGGCTGAGAAAATCTTTCTCTGAATCATAGAAAAAAACATTATCAGCAAATACAACCCACAGCAGGGAATCTGCATTTAATCATTACAGATCCCATAATCCTGAGTGAGTGTGTTGGGAGCTGAATTTGATCTGATAAGCTCCAGATTTCCCATCCTGATTTAAATATCACATAGCTAGATGTATTCCATAACAGATTCCTAGGTTTCCAAAACTCTGTGTAGGCTTCTTTTGTATAAATCAGCTACCTATTCAAAGCATATTCAAAGCCACCTTTTGATTTATTGGTTTTCTTATAGTAATTATTTGATTTATACCCTGCCTTTCTTTCTCATGATGTTCAAGGTAGGACGGCTCCAAAAATACTTAAACAAAAGGGAAATAGCTTCTGCTGATCTTAAATACATGCTGTGATCTCTGTACTGACATCAGACATCAGAATGCAAGAACATAATTATTGCACTTACATGATGATGTCACTGCATACATCAGCATTTCAGTATCACTGTGGTTTGCTACAGATGCTACTGGCATGGCCCAAGAGGTATTTTCTCCTTCCCTTCATCTTGTTATATCTGGAGAATGGAAACTGACAGTCTTCCAGATCACAGCATTTCACTCTTGCTCAGCAGTTAAACAAAATGAATGCGTTTTGGGAATGTGCTACCATCTCTGCACCAAACTTGACTGCAAGGTTCTCCTAGGTGCCATCCAGAGAGGTGAACTCTGATTCCCAGAATTCTCAGCAATGGCCATGCTGGCTGGGGAATTCTGGGAGCTGAAATCCATCCATGGAAGGTTCCTAGGTTAGGGAAGGCTGCTGTACTATTTTAAACTGAATGCAACATTTTCAAGTGGAAGAATCATTTTGTCTCTCACCCAGGGTTAATTCAGAGTATCTATGGGAGTTAAGTTGAGAGCCAGAATTCTCAGAACAGAGATGTCAGTTATGTCAACAACCCACAGTTGTCCAGCTTCAAGACTGGGAAGGACAGAGCAAAAATTCCCTAAGTCAGTGGAAGAGATGGGAGAAAGAAATGCTGGAATTAAACTACAGGGGTATGAAATTATACCTTCATGTTGACCAAAGGCAATCTCATCAGCTTTGAAGTCCTATATCCCAAAAACTTTTCACTATCTCTGGTGAGGCCAGAAAACTTCTCCCTGCTAATTTTCTACATGGAGGAGCACTTTTTGCTTTAGACAGATGATCGAGACACAGAAATAAAAAATACAGACAGTACAGCATTCTGGATGCATTTACATAATAGGCTTAACCTGGAGATTGAATTAACCTATTTCCTTGGTTTGAGTAACCCCTTGAACTTTGAAAATGGGCTGGTCCCATTTGTACCTGCACACACACACACACACACCACCACCACCACCACCATCACCACCATTAAAACTAACCAAGCTTAGAATATTGTGCAGATACAGCTGATAGGCTTGCTACTGTAATTGTGTTGTGTGAATGGGGCCCATGTAATTCTGCTGATTGTTTTCCTAAGACACTCTTATATTTTTTTTCAGAAAAATTCATTGCTGTTGCTATTACTATTGCTGCATTAATAATTAATCAACAATTAGTCATCAATTATTATTAATTAATAAACAAAAGAACAATTAATAATTAATAAACAAAATATATGTTTACAACATTAATAACATGATACCATTTTTAAAAAATAGACTGGAGAAATATTTCATAAGTAAAGCACCTCTTTCTAATTTGCCAGATTGTTTGGACATCCTTTCTCCCTTTTGTTGGAGAAGAAAAAAGGAATTTCTAATTCAAATATTAACAAATACAGCCCTCTATTGCTACCAATTAGACATAGTTTTGTCCTTCCAGGGTTGTATAATACTTTGATTGGCCATTCCCCATGTACAAAGTTCATAGATAGATTCCACTCGTGGGGATAGAGTACTCTGACAGTGAAGTTAAACAATATAACATGATCTTTTAAGCTACAAAACTAGCCAGTGATAATAATTTATTAAGACTAAAATAATACAAAGAAAATATTCAGTATATGTGTATATGTATGTGTGTGTATTTGTATACACACATACACACATACACACACACATACAATTACCTCTATATGGATAGAGATGTGTCTGCAAAATATCAGTAATGTTTACAATATACCTGAAAAATCAATCAGTGTAATTATTCCCGTGCCATAGATATAAAATTAAAGCTTTGAACTGGCATCTGAACTGGCATCTTCTGAGACTCAATGTTCTGAAAATGAAATAATGGAAAGAAATGAGACATCAGAACAAAGATATTATTCTGAGTGTAGAATGGGGTGGGGGGCACCCATATTGCCCAACAATACAAGCAAAAAAGATCTGGGTGTCTTGGTGGATTCCAAACAGAACATAAGCCAATAGTGTAAGCAAATTCAATCCTAGTCTGCATCAACAAATATGTAGTGTCATGACAAAATAAGTTCTTCTCTCAATTCTGCAATGGTCAAACTACACCTAGAACAGTGATGGTGAACCTTTTGGGCTCAGCGTGTCAAAAATTTGGAAAATGCCTAACTTGACTTTGCTGGCGTGTCATCACCTCCCAACAAAAGAGAAACAATTCTTTACATATTCATTTATTTTTTAAAAATGCAGTCCAATAATGTGTGGTGCTATGTATTATATAAAGAAATATCAAATAAGTACAAAAATGAAATACAAGTAAAACAAACTCAGTTTCTTTGGTAACTCAAATAGTGAAAATAGTTGTTGGGTGTTGGTGAATGCTGGCGTGTCACCCAAAACATCGTGGTGTGTCACCTTTGACACATGTGTCATAGGTTCACTATCACTGACCTAGAATATTGTGTTTGGTGCTGGGCAAATTTTCGGAAGGGCATTCACAAATTGGACAATGTCCAGAGAAGAGCAACCAAGATGATCAAGGGCCTGGAACAAAATGTACAAGGAATAGTTGGAGGTATTAGGCATATGTAGCCTGGAGAAGAGAAGACTGCAGGGAGACATGATAGCTGTTTTCAAGTATCTGAAGGACTATCATGTAGAAGACAAAGCTGAAGTGTTTAGTTTTCCAGGACAAGAAACAATAGGTTTCAACTACAAGGGAGTAGATTTCAGTTGGACATCAGGAAAAACTTCCTAACAGTAAGAGCTGTTTTTTTGTTTTTGTTTTTTATGAGATGGTAGACTCTTTCACTCAACTTAGTGGCTTATGGTCTTTTCCAACTTGATGATGTTACAAATTATGCTGGCTAGGAACCCAGGAGGTTCTAATTCTCCTTGGTCTGAAAGGCAGCAGCCTGCCCTAAAGAGCCTATAATTCTAGTGCAGTTCTAGTGCCCATATTAGTAACATTTTCATTAATCATCTCCAAAAGATGAGCTTGGCAATTTTACCAAGGAAGGCCTTTCTTTAAACAAGGCAGATTTTTAGGCTAAGGCATTTTATACCATGGGAGGTAGCACTGGCCATTGGTTTCGCTGACTTGCTAGACTTTATCATTTTAGCTTGTCCTTGTTTATAATTCTCCAGATAGGTTAGGGTTCAGTTCTGCACATCCCAGTTTTAAAAAAGACATCGATAAACTGGAGCGAGTCCAGAGAAAGACTACCAAGATGATGAAAGGACTGGAAACCAACTCCTACGAGGAATGGTTAAAATACCTAGGTATGATTAGCTGGCAGAAGAGAAGGTTGAGAAGGGATATGATAGTTATCTTCAAATATATCTGAAGGGCTGTGACACTGTA